TTTATTGGTCTGTCCTTGATCCAGAAATGTCAAAAACTTCTGCTGTATGTTATACTACTGAATCTGAGAAATGACTGTCACTTTGAAACTAGATGGTTGGCTCTTTGTTCCTAAGTGTCATGTGAGTTCATGTATAGTATAAAAAAAATGACGCCTCTGAATAATGTTCTGCACATAGTGTTTGGCGACATTGTGCAGTTATTGTATTGTTACTGGTCAGGCCTGCTCGCAATGAGCCCATCCTCTCTAATGTTGAAATGAGCAAGTAGGAGACTTTAGTGTAACCTGCCTTTGAGTGATCTGTCGCAGCTACTGTGGTGTACAGTATGATACCTTTGTGTAACTCTGATGTCAAAGGCATGTTGTAAATGTGCTTTTAGCCAATGTAGAATGAAACTCCTTTGTGCACTTTCTGAATAATCGTTGAAAATGCCAGCATTTGAGTCTCGACTTGTAAGGACCCCAATAGATCACGAGCAATAGAAAGTATTCACCCCCACTGGAGGGCGCATTACAAAGCATTGTCACATCTGTTTGTTGCAGTTCACATACAAAAACAACCCGTACGTTATGTCAGATGCAGACATCTCTTAGGTTCATGGGGTTCAGCCCGTGCTGTCAAAGCTCCAAAATGCATAGAAGGAAGCAGTACTTTCTTTTCTAAACAAAAACCAAAAGAGATTGACAGGAAGCAGAGTTTGGTTCTCAGGTGACCGTGGAGAGCTGCTAAAGCAGAACAGAGCAATGCCATAGGTCAGCCAGTCAGCTGAGGCTAGAGGCGATAGCAGCGGCTGGATCAAGGCCTCGTGTGAAATGAGATGAGTGTGTGGGAGTGGGAAATTGATTTGCCAGGCTACACAATCTCCCCCTTGTTTAAGGAGGAGGCGTTTGTTGCATAAATATGTGTCCATCACTCAAGAGAATGTCAAAGCTTCTTATGACTTTTAAACCCCCCCCCCCCCCAAACCCCTTCTTCATGTCTTGTGTAACCTTTCCTCATGAAAGATAGTTTTAATGCATTTGGTTAACAAAGTAGCATATTCTTCCTCTCTTGAAATGCACGAGAATACTACCCAAGAGTGTTTAGACTGTGAATATTCTCCTAACTTATTTGATATGGCATGACCCCTTTTAAACTGCTTGATGAAATTGTCTACTGAGGTATGTAAATTAATAACACTGAGGCCATGAAAGCATAGCATTTTCAAAAAATGTCAGCTGAGAAAGCAAATGCAGCCTACGGTTGGTTCTGCACCCACGCACTGTATGTTTTCTTATTTACATAAAAGTATTGAGTGATGGAGTGAGGAGTTTTATCATTCTAAATAGCAAAGGAAATTTAAAAAAACAAACTGGTCAGGGCCCAGTTTCCCTAAAGAATCTGGAATGAAAATGTATTTAACATGATGACACTTTCAGGGAAGCCAGCCCAGACCAAACTCCAGCTGTGTGTTGAAGAGGGGGGGAGGCACACCTCTGCATCCCGGTTTCATGTTAGGTACAGACGCGTGGTTGTCAAGAGCAGAATGGTCCCACTTTGACGCACACACCACATAGAAATTGACTCATGAGAAAGAAATGTCTAGTTGAGTGGCACTTTTCATCAAGCTGAGCAAAACCAAAAGCCCCCTACCACCCCCCCACCCCCACCCCCCTCCCTGCGGAAGTTACAAACTGTGTGGTCTTATCATGTGTGCCTTTCTCACTCCGCTCATTTCAAGATATGGTGTGTTTACACTTGGCAAACCTGGTTCAAATACTGTGGAAAACGTTTGGTCTGGATATAGATCTGTTATCCATGGGACCTTGGGGTGGGGGGGTGGGGGTGTAAATGTGTCTTTTCCATGCAGGTGGAGACCATTTTGTGACAGATTCAAAACAACAAACTTTTGTTAGGCTAAAGAAACTGTGATCTCATTCTGTCGATTCAGGTACCAAACTGCATGGACAGTTTCTGTGAAGGAATCTGAAGAACATCATCATTATCATCATCCCTAGATAATGCATCAGTGTGTGCAGGGCATTATTTTGAAACAAGTGGAAGTCTCTGTACATATTTGTATTAAGAAGAAACAGTGTTATTGTTGTTGTATTGAAGACAAGTTGAAAATGGCAAAAAAAAAAAAAATGAATAAAAAAAAGTTTGTGACAAAGACAAAAAAATCCACAGCCAAGGGTTGTCCTGCTAGCACATTTTTACAGAGATGAGCTATTTTTACTGGTGATTTTCTAGGCATTGATATTGATATCCTTTTAAAAAAGTACAAAACATCCAAAATTACAAGCACTTCCACAACGATAGATTGTATGGTCATTTTTGTTACTTTTGTAGATGTGGTCGTTCCTTTGCTACTGCAACGTTTTGTAAAGTGGGACAGGCCTTGGCTGTGTGTCCTCGGGGTCTCATGTTTTTTTTTTTTATTTAAATTTTTTAATTTGGGAAGTAAAACACTGTAGATGGGCCGAATTTGTGACTGTGTGTTTGTGTACTTGTGTACATGTTCCCCTGTTCCTGTGTCAGTGTTATAAACCAGAGAAGTGATGTCAGTTATTGTGGGGGTATGAACCATTTTAAATGTTCTCTATGAAAAACAAAAATAAAGAATCATAGACAAGTATGACTATGTTGAATCTGTGTGTACGTCTACCTTTGTGAGGACCGATTTGAGTTTTAAAACTTGAGAGTGAAGATATTTTGCCCTGTCCTCAGTCTGGGAAGGACTGTTTAAGGGTTAAGACGGTTACGGTTAGAACAGTTAGACATTTACTTGTGATGATTATGGTTAGGTTTAAGGGGCAAGGGAATGCATTATGTCAGTGAATGTCCTCACAAGTATACTAAGACAAATGTCTATGTGTTTGTGTTATGAGAGAGACAGATGATCAGTTTTTCATTGCAGTAACACCAGTGTCATATGCATTAACACACAGTATGCATGGTCAAGCAGGCACATGACACACACTGTCTTCCCAACTGGTAAACAAAATGGGGGACTTCGTGTGCTGTTAACGTGCAGTTACATGTAGTTTTTATGTTGAACAGCACTGGCATCTAGTGGAACATTTAGTTAATCAACATGTTGTGTGGACTCACGAACTATGAGTATCATCATAGGTACTTTGTGTTTCTCTGCAGCTGTTAATAGTGATAATCATTATTCATTAAACACTGTGTGACATTCTCTGATCTCTGAGTTCATTTTGTCACAGCAGTGTTTGCTTTCAGACAGAATCCAAAAGTATAAATATCTTCCACTGACCCAGTGAAACAAACGTTTAGTCTTGGTTGTCAAAATGCATTACATCTAAATATAATAATAAATAAAAATCTAAATCCTAATTTATTGTCTAAATCCTCATGTATAAATATTAAAGCTAACTGTCATGTTTCATCTGTGTTATTTAACATGTTAATCCTCAAATTTTAGTGCATCTAATGACATATCTTAATTCACGAGTGCAACTCCTCAGAATCTAAAGTTTTAATTAGCGTTCACAGTTTCTGAATATGGACCAGTCTGACAGTGGAGAGGGCCAACAGCTCATACACATATATACGATGTAAGACATGTGAAAGGTGTGATGTGTTTGGTCCGAGGGAGAGGTGGATCCTGAGACAGAGGAAGCATCACAGCAAATATCAGATTAAATGCTGTGTCCAGACAGACAGAGGGGTTTGGATAGCCAATTAGGTGATTGATGGGATTTAATTTGTAAACATGTGTAAAATGGTATGTATCATTTGTTTTACTGTACTTTTTTTTATTTGTTTGTCTTACATTGTAGTTACTTTACATATAAGGCTGTTCTTTGTATAAGGGACATACTATACCTGAAAAGTGAATACCGACAATAAGGAACCTGTGAATTGACTGGTGTTTGTATGACATGGGTTTATTCAGTTTGCTGTGGAGGATATTAAACTGTATTATTGAGTTACTGTGAGTACACCTCAACAAGAAATTACATAAACAAACATAAAGTCTTGCCTGTCACACTCACACAGTTCCTTAGACCGTCTTGATAAATGGAAATGTCATTTTGGGTGGCAGTTAAATTTTGCTGGACAGATTTATTTAATAAATCACAAATGATCCACTTTGAATGTAACAAAGACATTAATGTTGTGTGAAATTATTTATTTTCTCAAGATTTATATGATGTTGTGGTTTGAGAATATTGATCACTGTTGTTTCCAAACAGGATATGATAATCTTTAAAGGCATGCAGGCAGGTAAGCCAGTGGTGAGAATATTTGTACCGACAGAATAAAGTTGACAACATGTCAGAAAGCTAAATCCCCCAAAGAGATGCTCTGTTTCAGTGTTTTATTCAGCTTTCACTATGTCAGTTTTGTGCTAGCATATTTCTTAAACCATGTCTTTGATTAATTTAACAGCAAATGTAGAGTCAGGAAACACACCGTAAAAACAGTACAAAGTGTAAAGACAGTGCCAGAAACGTGGCTGTGGCCTTGGTACAGAGTAAAGATTATTATTACAAATATTATGACAATTATCACAATGTTTTATAAAAAGTATACCATTTCTGTGAGCTAGATTTACGAGTGACCAGAAAACCATGTACATTGTTATATAGTATACAATGCAATCCAACACAAAAAAACAGCCTTAATAGCTGAAACATTTGTTTCAGTGGATTTTTCAAGTAGCCTGGTCAACAGGCCTTTTCCCCTGCGGACATTTGGACTTGTCACAGCACCAATCGAATGTCCATGAAACAGTGGCCTGCGTGCCTGAAACTGAAGCAGCTAAATTAAATTCAGCCATCAATAATGTTACATGCAGCTCTGCTTTTTCATACTGTAAGGTGTCAGAATGTCTTTACTTAAGTAAGCCTATGGTAGGACATCGGTTTAATGCATGGGCCCAGTACAGCAACACAGTCACTAACAGGGCTAATTCAATTAAAACTAAGACATGCAATATCTCTGTAAGCACAGACTTTATATAGGCCATCCTCTTCGGGCCCTCGTCTGGCGTAAATTACGTCTGACGTCAGAGCGTCAGCTGGCCGAATGTTTACATCCAGCAGTGGTGTGTTTGTGACTGGATCCCTCCAACAACAAAAGCCTGGACACAAGGAAACCCGCTAAGCAGATCATATCAGTCGGCATTTTCACAAGGTATAACCTGAGCTTCATCAGGGTTCATCGTGGAGGCGGCGGGGAGAGCCAGCGGCTCGTTTCCACACCGCCAGCAGTTAACGTTAGCTCTTGTCTCGATCTTTCTTCTTTTCCAGCGACGAAGAGAATGCGGTTTTTTCTGCCTGTGTTGACCTTGCAGCTGCGTGACAGTCTGTTCTTCGTGTAATGCTTCGTCTCTGTTGTTTATACCACTCGATAGTTAGACCAGAGAGCTTGAATATTCGAGTTTATTCGAATCTGGATCACCCGAGTGGCGCAAATGGCAGCCGCAACAACGTGCAGGCTGTGGCTCAATGCGGGGAAAACAAAAACCTGCAGGTCGTTACAGGTCGTGGCGTGACGTTTGACCCTCCTTAAACAACATGCGAACGTAAGAATGCAAGTGATAGCTTATTCATTTAATCAGCGAATGAATTGCGAAGCTCAAATGGCAGCGTTTTGCAGGAAGTGTGTACCCTACTAGCCTACTAAACCACTTAGTGTGTTACAGACGGGGTTACAGTGCCCCCCTGTGGTCACCTGTGCTAACGAATCATAAAGTAGAAGTTTATGATATTCACAGGAGCAACATCTCATTCTGGATCCTCTTCCCTGAACATGGATATTCATTTTGAGCTGCTGTTTGTTCCTTTATTAATTCCGCACCCGACAGCATCATGTCGACTCAACTCAGGTGGCATGAAAAGCAAGAGGTCCAGTAAAATTTAAATGCACATGGCCCTTTGTTCTTTTATGGCCTCATGGCTGTGGCCAGCATTTGGCAGCCAGTGCACCCTGTGATCTCTTGTCCTTTTGGCATTGCCCTCTGGTGTTGTTTTTAACACCACCCTGAACCACTGCAGCAGCATTCACACCTACAGTTGTATTCTGCTGCCGAAAGCTTCATTTAGGCACGAAAGAGCTCAGCGTTGGATGCATTTTGAATCAATAACCACTAGTTTGCGTTGTCATATTAGACATGTGCTGAGAGGTTGTGACTGTCACATTTTTGTAGTGTACAGTGTAGTATAATCACATAATGAATGACTTAAAAACAACATAATTCTTTATTAATGTTATGGGTGATGGAGGATTTTTAGGGCTGCAACTACCGATTGTTTTTAATGTCAAATAGTCTGATGTTTACTTTCTCAATGAATCAATTTATCATTTAGTCATTGAAATGTCCAAACAAAATAGGAAAATTCTAATTTCTCAGAGGTGATGTCTTCTTGTTGCTTGTTTTGTACAACAAAAACGGCATTTCAGACGCTTGCATCAGAGACATATTTTGACTAATGGAGTTGTGGGAGTTTTACTGCTGAGGTATGAAGCTTCAGCCTTCTACCTTTTTTTATATTGTTCATGAACATAGACAGTATGATTTTTATTATTAAGTCTGAAGTTCTTGAAATCTTCCATCAGCTGAAACTGAAGAAAAAAAAAAAAAAAGCAAAACAAGAATGATCGTTTTAGGAAAATGTCTGTAAAATACAGTATTCATGAGAATGGATTTGTGCAGCCTGTGGCCCTTTTTAACAAAAGTAGCTTTCCTGTCATTAATCCTGATGCCAGGGGATGATAATCAAAGTTTTGTGTGCAGCAGTGCTTACTGTAGATGTGCTTTTATCCCATAATTGTTGTCTTTATTAGTTAATCACCTGTTTTTCTTTGCCTTCAGTCAAGATGGGTGGAGCTGTGAGTGCCGGTGAGGACAATGACGACTTGATTGACAACCTGAAGGAAGCTTACTACATCCGATCAGACCTAGTGGAGCGGGCTTTTCGAGCCATCGACAGGGCCGACTATTACCTGGATGAATACCGGGACAACGCTTACAAGGTGAGGAAAACAAAAGTCTGTGAAATCACCCAAACAGGGTCCAAAGCAACTCACAGCATACATGATGACAGTGTTTTGGAGTAAAACGCTGCTGGATGAGAATAATAATCACTGGATATTTGTCGTGTTTTTAAGGACATACCGGTAGTTGTAGAGTTACACAGGCTGAAAGATTTGTGGGTATAAGAAAAGGTGGTTAATCTCTACCATTGTTGTTATTAGGACTTGGCATGGCGGCATGGAAACATCCACCTGTCTGCTCCATGTATCTACTCTGAGGTGATGGAGGCTTTGGATCTCCATCCAGGCCTCTCCTTCCTCAACCTTGGCAGTGGGACCGGCTACCTCAGCACCATGGTCGGCCTCATACTGGGTATGTGGATAGCTGCAGTAATTGAGTATGCAGCTCCTTTATTATTGTTCTGGAATCTCAGTGTAAACATGTCGCAGCGTGAAGGTCAGAGGTACGCTCTGGTGAACTGATACACGTTATACTTTGGTGTGATTGGACAATTCACTAAAGGAGGAGCAGGTTTTCATTAGATGCTTTATATTTTTACAGTTGCAGAGTAGTATTTCACAGTTTGTCACCAGCAATCAACTAAGGTCCAGTTCATTTCCCCGTACTTACAGTATCGTCGCTCCCTGTGTTGAAGAAATATTGTGAGCCAGGTTCAGGTGTGAACAAGATTCGGAGACTGATGAAGACTTAACATAACATGTTTTATTGAGCCCGGCCGAGGAGATACAGTGCCAGCATACAACATGTGAACACATCGAATGCCAACACCAAATGTTTCTGTCTTCCCCCTATAGTTCCTGTAGGTTTCTCCATCAGGTCATCTTTAGCTGGCCTTAACCTAGAACAAAAAATCTATCTGATGTTTAGACTCCAATGCTTCATCATATTGGAATCTATTACTATCCATGAGTTGTACTCTAATCTGTTGAGATAGAAAGTTCTACAACATTCTTGTAGGACTCAACCTTGTAAGATTCCCAGAGAACAGCGATATCTGCTAGCCTGATGCCTGAGCTTCTGTCTCTGCCTTATCAGTCTGTCATCTCCCTAACAAGGACAGATACATGAGAGAAATAACTAGAGCTGGAAGGTCAGTGAACACTTGTGGGGTCAGCTAATGACTCCAAGCTAGACCTGTCTTACATTTCCCTGTTACATCAATTAAAAAAACCTAAGAAATATTCTATAACACCCTGCTGTGCTGAGATCAGTGTTTCCTTGTGGGGACCACGAGATCAGAGCTTAGAGAGAAAATCAGCGCTGTACATATTCTACATTCATATAATCTGTTCTACTTGAGTTGGTTTACTGAATAAATCAATAATATGCATTCCATGGTTACATTGACATTTCAAGCAAAAAAAGAGACTATGTTAATAAGTAATTAAGTAAAGATTTATTCATACAGATTTATTCATAGAGCACTTTTCTAAATAGGGGTTATTAAAGGTGGGGCATGTGATTCTGGACATAGCTTGTTGATATTTGAACTCGACAGGCAAACAAATGCACCCATCCCTTCGGTGCTCGTTCAGAAGCTCCGCCATCAAACAAACGACATGCAAACACACAAACCCAGCATCCAAAATACAACAGAATACAAACTAGCAAGTCAGTTGTTAAGAATGTTTTTACAAAACTACAGTGAAGTAGTGTGTGAACTAGGGTTAGCAAACTGTTGCTACAGTTGTGAAGCTAACATGCAGAGAGGACGAGATGTCCCAGAGCCAGCACACCTTCTCCAGATAGGAAAATGTCTGTAAAATACAGTATTCATGAGAATGGATTTGTGCAGCCTCTGGCCCTTTTTAACAAAAGTAGCTTTCCTGTCACGAATCCTGATGCCAGGGGATGATAATTAAAGTTTTGTGTGCAGCAGTGCTTACTCTGTCTCTTCTGCTACTATAGCTAACATCACAACAACCTAAAAACACTAATGTTACCCACCTGTCAAGCAGAAACAGCAACCTCCGCATCTGTTTTCATGCCTCGGTCTGAGCCACTTTGTTTGTTTCCCATTTATTTATTTTCCAGCGGGCACAGAATGGACAGCTAGCAGACAGTGAGGAGATTTAACAAAAAGTGTGTTGAATTAGCTTTTTCCAGACTCGCATACCCCACCTTTGTGTGCTTCTCATTGAAAAACATTCAGCGTTAAATATTAAACAGGCACGCTAGTAAGAAACACAAGAATATCAAATAGATCCAAAACAGAAATATCATTAGAAAAGCAGTCAGTCAAGAAAAGCACAGTGAGAGAAAAATGTTGATTAAATTGGATGAAGAGTGAGAGGTAAACTATTCCAAAGTCTCCCTTCATTTTAAGTGGAGCTTTGGGAAAATCTTGTAGACACTCGTTAGCACACCTTAAAGACTTTGTGTTCATGTAAATGTGGTTCATTTAAAACTGTGATATGTTCCAGGACCATTTGGAGTGAATCATGGAATAGAGTTACATGCAGATGTGATTGAGTATGCCTACCAGAAACTCGACTCCTTCATCAAAACCAGCGACAGCTTTGACAAGTAGGTTTCCAAACGTTCTGTGACATTTTTATTGTTTTCACATCTTTCACTCTTGTGTACATTGTTTTTCATCGCTCCTGTGACTCTCTTCAGATTTGAGTTCTGTGAGCCGTCCTTCGTTGTGGGTAACTGCCTGGAGATTCCTCCAGAGAGCCGTCAGTATCACAGGGTGTACTGCGGCGCCGGGGTGCAGAAGGAGCACGAGGATTACATGAAGAACCTGCTCAAGGTGGGGGGCATCCTGGTGATGCCGCTGGAGGAAAAGGTTTGTGCACAATAGTTAAAATCTGCAGCAACACTTTAAGTCCCTCGATTTAGCATTTACAGGCAGTATATAAACATTTAATAAATAACATGACCCCACAGAGGTTAAATAGCTGGGATTCTCTGCCTGTCAGAACTGAAGAAGCCTTTTGGATGAAAACAACAAACAAAATGTTTTTGAGTATCTTCTACCAAGTCCAGTTGCCTTGATTTTAACCTTATTTGGATTTATTTAATGACTTGCCACACAATAATGTAGTTGCAAGCAGATGTGCATGTTAATTATTTATGCATTTGACAACAACTATAATTCCTTCTGTGAGCTCCCATAAGAGGAGGCTAGTTTATAAATAATCAATGACAGTATAGTAAAACACAGTTATAATAATACAGTGGAAACCTTGTATAGATAGATATTTCCTTGTACCTTATATAGTGATCACGTCTGTCTGGGTCCAATTGATGTATAAGTGGATGATCATTATAACCACTTTTTTTCTTTATTTCTCATGCAGATTACCATCTAATTAACATTTGTATATTTATTACATGAATATAAAGACTTTTATTGACTGTTTCAAAATACAATACAGCTAGAAATTAAATGACTGTACTTCGTATTATTTGAATACAGTATATGGCTGTACAGTACTGCATATAAAATATAACTTTCTAAAGTTCAAATTAGGTAACCTAAAACAGTATTGTGCTGTTTACAAATACAGTAACGTCAGTAATGCAAATAGGCTACTAATCCACAGCTTGTCGCTGTTCCGGTGCAGAGCCAAAAGGAACTACTTAATTACTGTTAGCAAATTAATAACAGCATTTGTATAGGAATGATTTTTGATCCATAAAAACAGTTTCTACTTTCTACTAATACTTCTACTAAGTTCTGACTGTTGACAAATACTGTGCTCTAATAAACACTTAAAATTCCCTTATCTGCTTACAACTACAATATAGTGAGTTATAAACCAATTAATAAATGTTTATACTGCTTATTAATTCTAAAAGGGGGGGGGTTAAAGTACAATTTTACTGCATATTCTTTGATATTACTGTCACCTTCTTGTCTTAGTGAGTGTCTGGAAAGGTTGCTATCTTAGTGGCTTTGTTATAATGTATATGCAGAACCTTGTATCTCTACTATCTCTAGATACCTTGATCTCTAGATACCTTGTATCTGAATGTAGTTTTGATAATCTCAATACAGCTTTTGCAATGTTGAATATCTGCTTTTGAAACATTTCTTGGGACGAATTGGTTTATTATAGTACAATAACACACATTGTACACACACATTGTACACACTTCTTGGACAGTTGGAACTATAAATAGAAAGCAGCCTGTTGAAGTTACTGAATTTAATCATCTTGTGCTGTATTTCCTGCAGTTGACCAAGATCACCCGGACGGGGTCGAACAGCTGGGAGACCAAAAAGATCATCTCTGTGTCCTTCGCTCCTCTGGTGCTGCCTAAACACAGCACAAATGGCAAACCCAAGACTGTCCCACTACGTAAGTGTGATATTGTCTCCTATAGCTTTTATTCAAATGTGAATTTTGACACATATAGTACGTATCTAATTATTCACTTTTGTTGTCTCTCTCTCTCGCCTTCCTATTTTCCGTCCTGTTTTCTCGTGGTTCTCAATTTTGCAGCCAAGTATGAAGTACGGACGTTACAGGAGCTGGCTCGTATCTGCATCCGCCACACCCTCAGAGTGACCACAAATGCAGGAGACAGCCAGTCACGTGGCCGAGGTTCCTCGTTCAGCGTGGGCAGGGGTCTGGCGGTGGCCGGGCTCCATAAGTACGGCCCTCGCTTCAAACGCCGACGCGTCCACCGGCGCCACTGCAACGCCCTAGTCCTGGCCACCCGTCAGGTGGTGGCCAGCAGTGGTATCGGCCCCGCTCCTCTGGACAGCAACAACAACCAGGGAGGGAGAGCGGAGGACGAGGAGGAGGCAGGAGAGAGGGAGGCGAGGCGGCAGATGAGAGGGAGCAGGAGGGCGGGGAGAGGAGCAGGAGGGGTGGTGGAAGAGGAGGAGACGGTGGAGGAAGAGGACGAAGAGGAAGAGCAGGAGGAAGAGGAGGAGGAGAAGGAGACCGGGGAGCTGCTCCGGCCCCAGCCAGCCGTGAACGTGCTTAGAGAGAGGATACTGGGCCTGCCGCTGCCCGAGCCTCTGAAGATGTACCTGCTGTACTACAGAGAGAAATGAAGATGAAGCCAGGTCCTGAGTCCCGGAGCTGAAAGCAACAACCCCCAGCAGAGGTTGTTACAACCCCACCACCACCTGTACAAGGCAGGACAACATGCCACCTACCTTACCGACCCCCAGCTCCAACATCTCTCTCTCACCTGTTCTCATCCTCTTCATCATCCATTCTCTTTCCTACTCCCTCTTTTTCGCCCTGCCTCCCACTGTTGTTTACTTGATTCATTTCCTGACACTCTAAAGAGTCAGTTCAATTTGTCCAGTGGAGGGGAGGGAGGGAGGGGGGGGTTATGCTACTTTGGGAATGCAAACCATTCATGCCAATATTTCGGACAACCAAACAGTCACTGATAAACTTTGTGTCACCTTTTGTGGTGCAAAGAAATAGATATTGGTACATAATACATCTGCAGTTTATCAATTTGCGCTACAGCTCTGCAGCTCTGTATAACTAACATGCTAATCGAGCATTTCCTAAAAACAGCTAAACAGTCCACAGTTGCCTGAGTATCCACAGCTTGGAAAGGCAACATAGTGGTGTTGAGAAGGTAAGTCTACAGTGGCAGACTAGACACGGCAACAGAGTTCAGACACTGTAGCAACAAGCAGAGAGAGCCACAGGGCTTTCCACCTCTTTTCTACCCACTAATTGCAGCTGTGCCCCACGTTCGAGGTTATACAGTGATTGTATAAGTCGTGTGAATGCGGGTTTGTCCACATGAGGTGGTGTGTATTATCATCTAATGGGGACGGTGACGTTTTAGAAAAGAAGACAGAGTTGGCCAAAGCTCAGCTTTGTGAGTGAAGAAGATGTGCTTTCAAAGATTCAGTGATGTGAGAGTTGTATTTTCTCTTTCACCATATATTATTATACATATTTAATGATGTTGTAGCTACAGCGAGTAGGCGGTTGTATTCATTTCCACTGAGTTCCAAATAAAAGAGGAGCTTTGTCTTGAGCCCTCAGTCCATTAGATAATTTAACTTAAATTATCTGCTTTTCCAAGGCCAAGGGTTGACCATTATTTCAAGCATTTATAGTAGAAAAGTTGATTTAACAGGAGCCTGAATTTTCGCTTTTTCTATGCATATGTTTAATTGTATGTGTCATTGTATGAGTTAAAGTCTGTCTTTGTCTGCTGACGAAGATGAAACTGGCCTAAATCCTTACATTGTTGTTCTTGTGTATCCAAAGGGCAGTCTCACTGTTTTTCTCTACATCCCATTGTATTCTCTTAACTTAAAGAGAATGACCATAAAAGATCACATACTTACTAATATTCCAATTTACATAAATAAACCAGCATGATAAAAACACATAACTAATGTTTTTGATTATTGACAGTGTGCAGGTTTTCTCTCACTGTGCTCTCGTTTTTTTTGTTTTTTTTCTTGTAATATTTAGATTTTTGAATTTTGTGAGACTTGAAGTGGTGTGTGCATATGGAATTGTTATATGTTTTGTTTTGTGAATCATAAAAAAATGCAAAGATACTTTGATAAATAGAAGAAGTATCTTTATCACATTTTCCTGATGTAGTTACTTGTTAGATGGGGCATTATTCCTTTGTATTTTTTGCTTTTGTACCAAACTTTCTGCTCCCTTCTGTGCCAAACTTAAGTTGCATGGACTCGATTCTCGAGAGGAAACGGCAGATCAACGGCAAGTCACTCATCTGAAGACAAATGCGGTTTTTCCATTTCAGAAACTGCTCCACTACCACTGAAATGAGACTTGTGGTTAAATATGTATTAGTTTTTAATCATGTTAAACATTAGATTTCTCCCAGTTTGTATCTGAAGAATGTCTGTGATGAGTAGCAAAGTGATCTTTGCAGAAGAGCCCTACATCACTAGATACAGTTAATTAGATAAATTATGGATGTGATCACAGTAATAGAAGAAGGATTTGAATGTGTGCTTCTTATATTGGTAATATATCCAAGATTGAATGGGAGGATTGTGTATACAAAGCAGGTCCTTATCAGGCCAGGAGACTCACATCCCTGTGATTCCTGAGTGTAATGTCATGCTTCAGTGTTTGGCCGATTGTCCATTTCAACTACTGCTGGATCTGCCTTGGAGTACTGTATCGACACCATTCCTTTATTCAACATGAGTACCATTCATGTTTGGTCGTTGTGCAGCTGTGATTTTCTTCCGAATGTATAGGATCATGATGGGGTTTTTTTTGCACTAACATTAAGTTTTGGTGAGAATGACTTGCTTGTTGTTTTTGAGCTATATTATTGACTGCTGTTAATAAAGTCCATTATACAAAACAAGTTGCAAATGAAATAATTTGATTAGATGAGACAGCAGCTGCTGTTCTCAGTGTTAGTGCTGTAAAAGTGTCAGTGTTTAAGATTTTAAATGTGAGTCTTTACCAAACACTGGTGATACACAAAGGGGGTTTTGAAACCTATAATTCCTCTAAAGATTCTTACTGTGTTTGTTTGGTCCACTAGTGTAAAAGTGTAATTGCTGTGTGATCTGTCCAAATTAATAGTACCATAATGGAAAACAATTAGTCTGACTCAAACGGACTAAATGACGCAGGTTTTGAATAATAATAATAATGATACACTTTATTTATTTAACACCTTTTCAAATAATGTTACAAGTTGCTTTAAATGGGAAAAAATAAAATAAAACAAATCAGCACCACATATGAAATCCAGCAAATTCATATTCATTGAGTTCATGGAGAGGTTCCTTCGCAGAGTCAGACCTTTTCTGCATACTAATACAAAAGGGAGATAATGTCTGAGGCTTCTTTTTTACTGAAATCCTCATTTTGGTGTGAGAGTTTCTAGCTGAGGTTAAAAATTATAATTAACTGAGAAGTTAGTCAAAACTATTAGGCCTTCTTCTCTCAACAGATACATGGCAGGACAAAGCTCCCTTGTATCTTGGGTTGGTTCTGTGATCTGAGTATGAATGGACCATCCCCCAGGCTATATATATATATATATATTTATTATGAAATCTCCACCAGCCACAAGTCATGGGGCTTGACAAGGAAACCAAGGTCTGGTTCTGAGATCTGCAGTGCACCCTGGGAATTGTTCGGGGCCTGACGTTCTTCAACAGAGAGCCAGAGATTAGCTTAGTTTGTTTAAGCTAAATTAAACTCACTAATTTCTCAAATCAAAATATGCTCTACCGAACACTTGGGGAATGAAGGGTAAAACATTATCACACACATTCTTCAGTACAGAGACAGGACATGCAGACATCTTGTTTTCATTGAATGGTCTTTAATAATCAAAAGAAACTAAACAGGTAAAAGACATAGCCAGCCACAGACAGAAGTGCACCAGCATAATCCTCATTTGGCTATAAAAACAATACCAGCACATAAAAGTTGGTCATTAAAGTCTTAGATATGGAGTTTGGATCCAGTGATGTAGCTATGGGATACAGATGCAAAGGTATTGAATTAAATTAAGACATTCACATTTTGCTTACCAAAATCCTATGAATGACAAATACTCACACAACCAAACGTATTAGTCAAGCGTGGTACAATCATGCGGCAGGAATACAGCATAGCAATGTTAGTTACATCAGTTAAGCCTTATTCTAAAGATTATGTTTATGAAGTTAAATGTACAGTGAACGTGTAAATACTCTACTGTGACGGGAATTAAGCTCCCACTTCTTTCTATAAGCAGTCTCCACACTTCCCCAAATTAAAGATATGCAACTGTTTCACCTTCATCTTCCATGTGGAGAACTTATCGACTAAAGCATGTTGAAGTGTACACGCACACACAAAAAGCCTGTACCTTGCCGAATACAAAAGAAGACACATAGCACATGTATGATGCAAAAAAATAAAACATTTCAACATAAAATTACAAAGCTCAAAAAATAAAATAATCTATTTTAAAGAAATAAAACTGAATAAAAAAGTATCTATCTACATCTGTATATAAAATGAAAGGTTATAATAAGTTAATTTTTTTTCAACATGGAAACCCATTTTTGTAGTTTTCTTTTTTTTATATATATCTGTAAAAGTGACTGAGGATTGCCTATCAAGAAGTCTATAATCATTGTTACATATCTAAATACATAAGGTATGCAGGCATGGGTCAAACAGCAGACCCTTTAAACAACTGAGACAGGTTGATGGCTGATGGCTCTTAAACATACAATCAACTGCACACATGACAAGTATTTGAGAGGGTTTCATTTGCCATTTGACCCAGGCCTGTTGAAATGTCACAGTGGGTTGTAAAACCCTACACAGTAGCAGCGAGCGGACAGGACACTCCTCACAGTTAGGAGTATGGGGAACAGAGAGCAGCAGAGAGGTGGGCTGAACCGTGAAGGTTAAAACTGCACATTATTCATCTGTATGCATACAAATGGAATGGTTTGTGGATTCAGATCCACTCAAATCCATAGTGTTTTGACTCCGTTTTTCGACTCCAGTACTATGAAGAGCTCAGCACTCCCCTGGGGTTTTAGTGTTCTGTTAGACCAATCAGTTCTTTCCAATGACCACAAGGACCAATACAAAGGTAGATGAGGTAAAAATAAAACAAACAGAGGGGTATAAGTCACCCTCTGCGTGCCTTCCTGTGGCCCCTACCCAGAAACCTGGGGGTGGTTAAATGCTGTGTCCAAATGCTCTGCCTCTCCATATAAAGAGCACAACCCATTCTGACAGGAATGTCAGGACCATGCTAATAACAATTCCCTGATGCTGGAATGAATGAGGAGATGTAGTGATGAAAAAACCCTGGCCAAGAAGAATGTGCATGCACACTTCAAACTAAGAAGCAGAGATTAAGGACAAAGGCTAAGGCACCTTGGAACCCTGATAAATCTGAGGCACATTCCAGGATAGTAACTTTGAAATGACCCAGGGTTTGGATAGTATTGATCTCCTGCTAGGATGTCTAGTGGCCAACTGCAATGTCATGTAGTGGGTGTTTGTGTTGAGCTTTCTCCCATCGTTCCCCATCTCCATCTCGTATGCCCCAGGAAGAACAGCATCTACTGATTACAGCACCTTGTGACAGAGGCCAAGCCTGTGGTGTGCTTTACTTTCTGCCCTGTGTGTTTACAATCATACAGAGTTAAAGGAATAGTTCAACATTTTAGGAGATGCACTGTTACTCTAATGTCTGTACGCTAAATATGAAACCAGAGCCGGCAGGTGATTACCTTAGTTTAGCATAAAGACTGGAAGCAAGGGTTAGTAATAACCCAACTCAGTCCATCCACCTACCAATTAATAATTAACAAACTGTATCTTATTTGTTTAATCAGTACACAAACAGAAACGTAGAAACGGAGAGTTGCATGCTGGAACAATTTCTTGACTGGCAGCATTGCATTGCTAAGATAAGCTGATTGCCTCTAGTGTCATATTAAGCACTACCACATGAGAGTGGTGTTGATTTTCTCATCTACCTCTCTGCAACAAAGCACATAAGCATATTTCCCAAAATGTTTAAATATTCCTTTAAAACATAAAAAAAAAACACACGCAGCTCCGTTCTACCATGATCAGAACTACAACAATGGAAAGAAACAACACAGTTTGACAAATTGAAAAGTTCAATATTCCAACAACGTTAAGACACACATGCTCACACACACACACACACACAAGAACACACTGACAAACACATACACACACACCCGCCCGGTTACTGACAAGTCCATGTGTCTTTACGTCAACCCCCTCCCCCCCCTCCCCCAATGTTCACACTTACAGTAAGAGAGAGAACTACAACAGACTTGAGACGATAGGAAGAAGTGCATAAAGGATACTGCAGTCCATCAAGGGGGATTCTGAGCACACTTTCGTTTTTTTCTGTACATTAAGAACATGGCATTTAGCCAAGTGTAGGGAAAGGTAACAGCAGTGTAGAGTGATGTGAGGCTTCATGCGTGGCTGCTGTCCTGACTCACTCTCAGGATGAGGGTTTCCAAATCAAATATGCAAGATGACGAGCTCATGACAACAGTTCGTAGTGGTGTGGTTACAGTTAAAACCTACAAAGCAGCATTAGTCTTAATGTTTTTTTCTGTCATCTTGACAAAGAATTACTCACACAAAACTAAACCCAGTCTCTCAAACTTGAGTCTCAAAGTGGCAAGGTGCACAAGACAGGTTGGTGGTGACAGAAGCTGTCACTTGGGCACCAGGCCACGGGACTGTGGGTAAAGTGAGGATCCTGGACTGGAGGGGCTGAACGGAGAGGTTGGAGTGCTCGACTTCTTGCCCGTTCTTGGTCGACTGAGTGACAGAAAGCAATGAAAGGGTTAAACAGATTGTAGGAATGACAGCAAAAGGTAAAGAGCCTCCCACATTCTAAGGTTGAATTTGTGTTTTCATTTTATTTATGTTTTAAATGATCTTTTCTTCCCGACCAAATGTAAATAATGCAAGCACCAGCCTAACCACGTGTATGCCACTTCAAAATGAATATAATGTGTGGTCTTGACAGCTGAAGGGGAGCTACACAGAGATTTAGAGGTTGCCTTACCCAGACTTTGGTTTCTTGAGGCTGCCAGTTGCGCTGGCGGGTGGGGTTGGTCCCAAGCTGCTGTGAAAGCCTGAGGCATCTACCTGGATCTCATCCTCATCCCTAAGAGCGTCCTCCAGAGCTGCCGCCACCTTTGGGGCGATAACCGGCTCCTGATACTCCTTAGTGGTCCGAGCCGGCAGGTCCATGTCCAGCATCATGATGTTTTCAGCCTGTGTTGAACACAACAGAAGGACACTCATCAGAGACAAATAAGTCAATCCAGGTTCATGTTTATGTGTTAACAATGAAGGAGAACATATCGTAGGGTGAAGAATAGCATATAAAATGCATATATAATTATAATATACTATATAAAATATTGCATGTTGGTAACTTGGAAAATTACTATCAATTACAATTGATTGTTTTACGTGTCCTCAGTGAATCTAAACTCAATCCACTGGGAGTAATCAGTAAATGTATGTGATGAATACATTCATTATTGACAAAGGTGAGGAGGATGTGCAGCTTACTTTGTATCTCATGTCAGGCCTCATCATCATGGCCATGCGAGCATGGTGACTGAGAGGCCTCCTGTAGCCGACCGCAGACAAAGGCCTGGTCATCATCTGGTGGTCACTGAAGCAGACACAGAGTGAGACAGTGCATAGGTCATGCATCATGGGAAAACTGGGTAGCTGTTTGAACCTGTCTTAATGTGTCATACAATAAAAGCAATGAACTGTTATTACAGAGGAAATAACACGCAACACTGTTATTGAGTATTTTATAAATTCATGTAAATGCCGCTTTCAGACTTAATACTCGAGACAGACAATTTCTTGCAGTGTCCACCCAGACAAAATAACAAAGATTTCCTGAGTGAGCCTTTAGACACTTAAATTTGGAACTGAATATATCAACAACCATGAACAGGCACTTTTATAGCTCAAAAATCAGGGATGCACCAACCTGACTTTTTGTCTCCGTGATACAAATAAGGTAATAAAAGCAGCTATAATAAAAACAATGTCCAATTCAAAATGATCTCCCAAGAAAAACTAAATCTTCCTAAATCTAGTTTTAGAAAAACTACATGGAGCAAATCTTAGCTAACTGATATTGATATTAAAAAGCATTTGCTGTGAAGCACATGCAGGGAGAGGCGTCCTGTTAACCGTAGCTTACCACAGCAAATGAGTGGAGCAGAGCTGAAAACTGACCACTGACCTATGTAATATGGTCAATATCTGCGTCAATACTGATCCAACAGATCAGATTGGGGCATCCCCTTTCCATTGTCTCCCATCTCTACACACAATTTTGCCCTCCACCTAGCCTGCTGGCAGGGGATGGCCTTGCATACATTTAGAGAGTACATAGGACAAACAGTGCAGGTTGAGATTCCCCTGCTGGCCCTCATCTATTACACATAACATTACAATCATACATTAAACAATACTGCTACAAATAATACTACACTTCACCCATAAGCATCTTATTTAAACCCATAGATATTCTTATTCTAAAGGCTTTTACAGAACATGTCTGCTCTTCTCACTTTTAACTTGATGAACAATGTGCAAAAAAAGTAAGTTATTATTATTCAGTAACTTACTCCTCTATACGTGTGATGGGCTTCGTTTTCCAGTATTCATCCTCCTCATCAAAGTAAGCCCTGTTGACTATTTTGTTCTTCTCCTCTAACGGAATGAAGTTCTCGATGATTAGATGCCTGTAAGATGAACAAACAAGCAATTAGACAGAGGCAGTAACAGACAAACAGCCAAGCAGAGAAATGACAGCGACACAAAAATGTTCAGATGACTCCAAATAAATAGAAACACATAACATATCAATACCTGCGGAGTTATTTATTTCACTAAAGCAGAAAGCGTACTGGTTCGAGGCTGTGGTTTAGAAACAATATACTTTTTACATTAGTTTCACATTAAAGAATAATTACACATAATATCTAGTATGTAAGATGAATGTGGCTGAACAGAAGGTCCAATAATCCTAAGAATGCAACAGTACAACCTTCTTATGCATTATTTAAGCTTTATGTTATAAAATCAAGGCTTTGAGTTTAATGCATTCCCTTTGTATAAAAGAAAAAAGTGTCAGGGTGTGACAGCACGAAATCAGATTCAGTTTGGACATAATTACAGTAAATGCCCCTTCCTCTGCCAAGGCAGATGGTGTTCATAATAGATATAATATTGATCAATGCCAACAGTACGACATGCAGGTTCCATACTTGAGTTTGAGGTCCCTGGTGAGCTCATTCTGGGTCTGTTCCAGCTCCTGGCGTTCCTCGATGTGTGCCTCCTGGATGTCATGGATTTCTGCCTTCACTGCCTGCAGCTTGGCAAACAGCTAGAGGACAGAGAAGAAGAGAGGAAACCAGGCTGTCTTTTAAAGAACATTCAGCCTTAGAATTTGGCTTAGACACCTCACTATCATAAGTAATAATGGACTATCCAAGTAGACAAAGCAAATAGTGTATTCTTACCTGATTTGAAACAACTTTACACTTCCAAAAATAAATAGTCATCACATTGTACCTATCCTTTAAAAATGATCAAAACACTTATTATGCTAGGGGTGTATTTTTATGTATAAACAATATATATTGGTTACAGATGCCAGGACTGGAAACAGATGCAGAAAACAGTGTCTTGTGCCAGCGTGGATGGAGGACAGTCATTACTCAGACTAGGGTCGGGCCGATAGACGATGCCATCGTCCATCGGCGATGGCTGACAGACATCACAACATTGAGCCAGCCATTGTGATTGTAAAATCTCAAATTTTCACATTGTACCACCCTGTGAAAGCAGCTTTTAATGACCACGGACATTCTTATTATTGCTTTTAAGTATGCTTTGCACCTGCCTCGGAATTCTCTTCTCCCCACACTCAGACACACCTACACCCCAGGTAAACACCCCGGCTTGCCCCGCCTCTCTCTCCCCCGTCTGCTTCATTTTCTCCATCAGCAGTGTGTTTTATAAAGTCGCCTAAAAGATTGAGAACTCCGTATATTTCCGTATAGATCCATTATCACGGCAGCAGCTGAGCTGCATGTCGGCTTATTAATGACGCAGCCAATCAAACAACTGAAGCCAACATCTGCACTCTGTGTGTTCACTGCTGCTTTACCTGGTCCGTGCGTAAAATATCCACCGCGACTTGTAACGTAAGTTATTAGTCTACCATTTCTTTACCGAGTGAAGTCTGTGCGAGAACACATGCACATAAGATGACTGCACATAAGACCCCCGCGCGCGGACACCCGATGACATCATACATCCCAATGTTTCATGGTAGACATCGCCCAACCCTAACTCAGACCATCAAAGGATGCAGCGGATACCTTTTTTAGCTTCTTGGTTTTGATGTCAACCTCCTGCTGCAGAGAGCTGTAGGTCTCCTTCAGCTCCAGAGTCTCCTCGTCACGACTCTCCACCTGCTGCTGCATCTCTCGCTCTCGCCGTTTCTGGAATAAAACACAAACATTTACTCCAGGTGTAACGAGGTTAAAAAGGTGTCACTGATTGAAAGTGAGGTTGTCATGTGGTACACAAACTTGACAATCAGTCAAGTAAGGGATAATGTAAAGCAAAATGGCCATCATTAAAAAACAATGCATTATAGGGAAACAACAAGGGCCGCAATATAAAGTGGAAGACTGTGGAGAATGATGGCTAATAATGAAGATAGTGACTCCGGGTATACAGGGATATAAAAGACTCCAGAATACATCTATCAATAATAATGTTTTATTATTTTAAAAAGTTAGTGACGGTTTATGCGTTGGCTCAAGCCAAGTACTGAATACAAGACCGACCATCCATCCATCCAGCACACACTTTGACTGAAAGACTGAGCTGGAGAATGAGAGGATGGATTTTTTCATAGATTGGGGGTTTTTAGATACACTGGGGACATGATAATAATAATAATAATAATAATAATAATAATAATAATAATAATATGCGACCTTAAAAATGGCTTCCTCCATGCTTAAAAAAAATAATCTATATATTTCAACTGCATACAAAACTAGCTGATGATAACAGGAGTATTTTAGCTTGAAACTGTATATTAGCCTGGAATAGTTATGCAATGTTTAAAGAACGGCACCTGGTGTACTTATTACAACATTAATCCAACACGAGAAGTCTATAGGGCAGACGGAAGATGTTATGCATTCTCTCCCAGACACACATTGTCTTTGTATCATACAAAACAATAGGCGTATAAATAGCACAGATGAGATTTACCCAAGCCACAAGGAAGGTTGCAGTGGAGAAGAGAAAAGTGATTTAACCCTTAATTCAAGGAAATCTCAGTTACATCAGACTTGAAGTACACTCACATAGAGAACTGAAAACTAAAAGCCTGATTCCACCCTCTTCTCTATATTCTGTCTTTCATTCGTCTTATTATGTCCCTCAATCCCCCTTTCATTTAGCTCATTTAATGACTTGTATTGCATTCATATTATAATTAGTGGCTGTGCGCTGCGCTATTGTAAAGTGACCCTGGTTTTGGACTACAGTAAAATCAATCAAAAAAGCAGGTTTAAACCGGTCATTGCATCTGGGACAGCTCACAAAGGAATGAAAACATTGTCTCTGAACTATCCTGTCAGTAAAATTGTGACAGAAGTCTTGTAGTCTGCACCTGACACTCGCCAAGTGGCGGGAATCGATCTCACCCACCCTAAATTAAAAACAACTTTCCTGTAACCTGTGATCACATTTTGATTCCTTGTGACCTTCAAACAAGTTCTCTAATTAAGATTGGATTCAAGTTTCAGATGTGTGGTATACCTGTTCAGCGATTTCCTGCCTCTTCAGCTCCAGCATTTTCTGTTGCTCATTGGTGTGATCCACAATGTTCTTTCCCCCTACCAGGAGCTTACTCTCCATCGCCTGAATGGAAAGGGGGGGGGGGGGGGGGGGACAATGAAACCACTTCAAGGCGAATGGGAGGGAAAAGCAGTCGCAACTGGTCTATTTACAAATGAGAAGATCCACTACCTTGTGTGAGGTCATTTGAGGACAAACAATGTGGAATACAATGAAACAAAATCTGCTTACCTTCACTTTGGCTGAGAGCATCTCGCCGGCCTCCCTCTCCCTCTTCAAATCTTCCATTTTCTTCTCCTTCTCTTTAAGCAGCCGAACTTTCTCCTCAGCCACCAGACTGTGATCATCCATGATAGCCTTTCTCTCTCTCTCCAGCTTCTCCTGCTGCTCCCGCCAGTAATCCCCTTTGTCTTCCACATCTTCCTCATCGTCCTCTGTCTCTTCTTCATCCAGATCCTCACCGTCGCTCCCTTCCCCGGCCCTCCTCCTCTGCCTCCTCTTTTTCTTCTTTCCTGAGCGTTTTTGCAGCTGTGCCTTCAGCCTTGCAATCTCCTCCTGAAACTCCCTGAGCAGGGCGTCCTTGGGGTCCTCGTTGATACGTGGTTTATTCTTGATGTTCTTAGCCCTGTTGGAGTAGCGCAGCGTTGTCAAGGTCTCCTCCAAATTGTAGGATGCCGGGCCGATGTTGGCAACCATGACGGTGCGGGCATTTCCCCCCAGAGAGTCCTGCAGCAGACGAGTGAGTTTTGAATCCCTGTAGGGGATGTGGCTGCTTCTGCCATCCACCAGAGCTGATATGACATTCCCCAGGGCAGAAAGTGACAGATTGATCTTAGTGGCCTCTTTAAGCCTCTCACCCTGAGCACCAGTCTTGGTCTGTCTTTCACTACCAGCTAAATCTACCAGGTTCAGTTTGCCTACTCTGATATGATTCTCCCCATCCACACCCAACTCACTGCACTCGACGGTGATGACAAAGATGGCGTGAGAACGGGAGCTGTGTTCATTCATGTTAGTAGCCCCCACTGAACGATTCTGGTTGCCCACATTCATGACATGTTCGATCTCCCGCACACTCTTGGTGACAAATGATGAAAGGTCTTTGACGTACACACCCGTGTCAGGCCTCTCTCTAAGCTCGAGACGACGTGACTGGTCCTTAGAGAGCAAGTCTCTGATCTCCTCTTGGTAAATTTCTAGATATGATGCTCTCACCAGGTATTGCTGATTCTGGGACCGTGAAATGTGAGTGAAGATGTGCTCAAAGGAGTTTGGGATCACCCCTCTCCTCTCTGGATCATTTCTCACCCCCTCCATAGTGTACGTTTTCCCTGTACCCGTCTGCCCATAGGCAAAAATGGTCCCATTGAAGCCAAGAAGAACTGAATCCACCAGGGGCCTGAAGGTTTCATCATACAGATCTATCTGTTTGGAGTTTGAGTCGTAGACAGAATCATAAGTGAAGACTTTGGGGAGTTCATTGGCTGAGGCCTCTCTGGGGTTCCTGACAATAATTTGGCCCAATTTGACATCAACAGAGACCACCCTTTCAAACTTGGCTGCCCGCTCTTTTTCATTCATAGGGCGACAGCGGACCACCACCTTGACCGACTCGGAGCTCTTGCTCTTGGACATGTTGCAGAGCTGCTGCCAACCAACTCGGTTTGGCACTTTCTATGCTCTGTCTTCCAAGTGCAGTTTCAACTGTTTACCAATACAAATGCCCACATCAGAACCTGCTGAGAAAACACATTCAGTGATTAGGACAAACCTGCAATGGCAATTGTCATGGTGACTCAAAATCTTGTCCTGCATATATCCGCAATGCTTCATCCCTGGACATGTTTAAAACACTCCTCAAACACCATCTGTTCTCCACAGCCTGGAAACTCCCAAAGCAGTAGCTTTTCTCAAAAAATTTGTTGTTGTGTCACATATAGTCAATTCTATAAAGTGTCCTTGGGTTTCATGAAAGGTGCCATATAAATTTAAGTTTTAATTAATTAAAAAAAAGTAATTATTATTATCATCATCATCTTGATGGTAAATGCACTAACGTTACGCACATTTTTAAAATACAACCTGTAAGACTAATTTAACCACCCTGTACTTTAGCAACCATATAGCTATCCTTACACTGACACCTGTACTGCAGTTCACCTCTCTTGATCTTGACAACTTAAGCTAGTTGAGCGTAATAAGATTTTTCCAGATGTCACAAAACCAGAACAGCACGCCTGAGAACTGACGAGGTGAAATGTAACTTAGTTGATCGAAATTAATAACCCCTCCATAACGTTACTTGACAGCGATGAAAGGCAGAATTTAGCTGCTGTAACGTTAAGTTAGCTCTTAGGTAATACACCGGTGCCACTGCCTCAGTTTAGCTAACGTTACCTAACTAAATTTAGCCCATTAACCAGCAACCATAAACGATCATCAACGCTGGAATTTAAGGTTACTAAGTGACAGCCGTTGTGGCACTCTACCCGCAGTAGCATGTTGATAAACCGTCCGGTTTTACGGTAGTTGCTCAATTATTGTTAGCAACGATTCGTGAAAGTAGCGGGTCAGCTAACCAACGTTAGCGTATGCAAAGTGCAGCCCGCAAGGAGACCACAAGACCGGCCTAGCAACGACAAACACACTGGTAACCTCAGCTACACAAGTCTGGTAGCATTAACGTTACCTGGCTAGTAGTAGCGAGGGCAAACATTAACACAACATATCGCCCTAATTTACTCCTAAAAAATACTTTAGACACGTAAAACCCACGAAACACAAACACAACTTTCCACCAGCCACACAGAAACGTCTTTACATATTTACCAGTGGGGAACGTTTGCTAATCCTGAACTCCCAGTCAGCCATTAGCCGCTGCTCAACGGTCCGGGATACACGGTTGCCAGATTCGGCCACAACATCCCCCGAAAGAAGTACGAGTAAAAACCATACACTGTATATAAAAAGGTAAAAACCATATAGTCTATGCTAGAAACATACTAACCCATATAGATACTGTCATTCTGAGTGAGTATATGTATTGTACTTAAATATAGAATCGCGAGAAATATACATTTATTCAACTGTGAATAACCAGGTTGCAAGCCCACGTGCATTATGAAGAATACTAATTAAAAGTCTCCTTGCCCATATCTGGCAACCAAGTCACGCATAGCTTAGCATATCAGCTGATTCATCTGGACTCAGTGCTAAGCTTCCAGTGGGGAAGATAAACAGACCGAGGCTGTTGGTTCTTTAAAAATTAGTGTGCATCACTTTATTGGTGAAAAACATTATAGAAAACATTTAAGTTCAAAATCATTGCACTCTCTGCTTTGTACACTTCACACACATGCATTTAATCAATTCATCCAGTGCAAATCAACTCTTTTCTCTCCCCTAAAAACATCCCTGAAACATGTGTTCACATTCACTGAATAATAATACTGTCCCCAAAACACTCAGGGTTCCACACATTTCATCAGCTTTTGGTCCTGGTAAATTGAGAGGTGGAAAGACTCGTCTCCTTTTTCTTTCCTATAATTAGTATGTACAGGAGGATCGGTTACTGTGCTCTTCTTGGAATGGAGAGCAGAGAGGAAAGGAAAGAGCAAGCTGGGAAGACATGGAGGGATGGCAAGGTAGGGAGGGAAAGAAGAGGGAGACCATGATTGCTGACACTGCAGTCAGTCTTTTCCAGAGTTCACTGAGGTCACACGAGGTCCCTCTAATATGTCTGAACTGCAAAACATGGTTGCTGCTACAGACTATGGCAGTAGCTAAAAGAAATGTTACCAGCTTAAGTATACTGAACAAAAGCTATCTTGACAGTGAACAGGGAACAGTGAAAAACAGTGTTTCTTGGCAGCAGCTGTCCATGTCCATAATATTTCAGACATTACTCTACTGACCTGCTAAATCCTATGTTATAGGGCCTTCCTACTTTCTCATAGATTAAAACCCATTCTAAAACCAGTCTTTACACACTATGAACCATCATTTCATATATAAATATTCTCTGCCTTCACATGCTCTCTCGCCTCCTCATGACAGTCATCCAGCATTAGCGCCCAGAGGAGGACCACGTGAACCGAGTGCTCAGAGTTCTTCTTTGTTTTGTTTCCCTGGCTTGTCCATGCCAAAATAGGAGGACGGAAGGCCATGGACGTCCCGTTCTCTCTTCACAAAGGCAGAGAAGGAGGAGACGCAGTTTCCAATAAAGTGATCAGCTCGACCTAAGATGTACAGGTCCATTTGGGCCGAGTCTGGCTGAAGACTCACCACTTTCACCTGAAAAACAGATTGGAATACCATTTTGGTTACCATAACAGTAACCAAGTGTATTGTAAAAATGCCTGGTGAAAAATGCATATCCTGGCCAGTAAAATGTCCTTATCAGACAATAATATGTACACAATACAAGAAGGGCTGGATTCTGACTGTGGGTTAAGACATATTAAAGTGTGTCTGTAAACTATGTAAAGAATTGTGACAAAACCTGTTTTCCAAATTGTGCTACAGTCAAAATGTAGCTTGTTGGTTCAAGTTACATTTTAAGTCACACATGACAGAAGCAAAAGGAGCCAAATGTGAAGCAGAAGTTTCTTATGACATGCTTGTAATTGCATTACAGAAGCTTTACAAACCCACCTTGCCCTTGAAAAGCTTTTCAATATCCCTACTGTGGGATTCTGAGTCAGTGGCAATGTAGACAGAGCGTGCAGAGGTCTTCTTCACCCACAGCTTGACAGCTCTGCGTATCTCTGCCAGGTCAGGAAGGCACATGTTCATGGTGAGAGGCAAAGCTGTCTGGCGGTTGTAGCCAACACACTGAGGAGAAGCCATAAAGTGAGGCCCTGCGTCGCCACTCTTCAGCATTTTGCAGGCATTTTGCTGCAAGGGTGGATTAAAAAACAGATTTAGATGTGACCAGATGATGAAGGGGATAAGAAGCAACCTAGTACTGACTGTAAAGGTACAAATGTCACCCAAACTCAACCATGGTTCTGAATTGTGATTAAAGGATACATCTTATTGTCAACAAATATATCCAGAAACTAAAAACACTAAAACTGGGTGACATGTTCCCTCATCACCACTGTAGTTTTTTTCTGACTCAGTCACACACATACACTGCTGCCCCAAATACTCAACAAACAAATGCACTAATTCCTCCTGCTTGATTAACGATTCATAAAAACAAACTAGTGGTCATCTGTTTTAGGAAATTACTGAGCCTTTTTAAAAATAGAAACAATATATTTGTGATGTGTTTTTAAATGAGTCTGGAGCTGAGAGACACGTACAGGAAGTCCGAATGTACAGGGAGATGGACTGTTGGTTTAGATTTAGATGTAAAAAACCGTGGTGCTTGGTAAAATGCTGGTATACAGGCGTGAACTGAGCGGACTTCATTCGCTGGTAGAAACCGAAATGTGACTGTCCATGATATCTATGTGTGAACAAACATGTCTGTACGTGAGCACCCGAGTGAAGGAGACAATGAAAAACACAAAGAGAGAGAAGACAACCCATGTTTGTCCAAACCCTCGTTCATACGTTGTGAAGCACCTCACCCAGTCAATGCCAATCCTCAGGTGAATGCCAACGTATGGCCTGGTCAGCAGGGCAGCAATGTGCTCTTCTCCCTCCTTTACCATCTTGTCTGACCACACCATGTAGCGCTGCAGGCCCACATGCTCTTCTATCACTGGGAACTGGGCAGGAGCCCCAGGCAGTGCCAGCACAGGGTGCTCTGAGGGAGGGAACCTATTCCAACAGGGGAAGCATGAGGAGAATCTGCCTGTTATCAGCTTCAGAGGAGGTACTACCTGTGCCATTAAAAATCTATGGCAAATGGAAACCTCATTAGTTATTCATAATGTTTAAGGCTAACAATGTTCCTTCTGAGGACACGGTAGTTTTTATGTCATCTTTGTTCATCCTAAATGTGTCTACGGCACAGTGAGGCTGGTCTAACATGTACCCACTTCTTCATCCACTGAGGTTGGTGGTAGGCACTGAAAGAAATGCCACCAAACAAGACAGACTTGTCGAATTCCACACCGACATTATCCCAAAATGGACCAAACGGGTTTCCATCCTGAAAGTAAATCGGAACCAGCCGTCAGTGTCAGAACAATGAAACAGTAACAGCAGCGTTATAATTCTGAGATTGTAGCTCATATTTGGAAGTTTATGGGGCGCCAGAGGGCAGCATTTCACCTTCACCCTTTCCACTCGCAGTCAACGTCATTTATTGCCGAGGTGGTCGAGCAATGTAGAGTGCTTAAACACATTTAATGCTTCTTTACTTTCACCATTACTTACTATTTCCACCGTTCCAGGAAAGAGCAATGATACATTAGTGGACTATCTGCGAGCAGCAACCAATCTAATCAGATAATCATACTTTGTTGTAGCTAGCTGACACTCATTAGTCAAATAATCTACTCCACTGGACTCCCACCTTCATAGGACAGGATTTCTTGTCTGCACTCCGCTGTGCAGCAGTCTCGAAGCAGTATGCTTTCCTCTGTCCTGAGGGCCAGTATTTGGGAGCCAGCTCCTCCATGAAGTCCTCCAAACTGACCACACGGTGATAAGCAGACAAGGCCTCCAGCTGGAAGAACTCACTGTAGGGTACATGAACCTGAAAAGAATAGAAAACCATTGAATCAAACAGCACTTCCAGGATTTTTTTTTTCCAGGATTAAAAGGGAAAGAAGGCGATTTTTATATTTTTGTTATTGTCAACAGATCTCATGAAAACACCAGTCTTATGTCTTAGACAGTCTCGATACCTTCCGACTTCTTAACCCAGTTGTTAAAGGCTTAAAATAAGTTTAAGGGTATGGAGGAGTGGCAGACAACCTCAGAAGCCTTGACACAGTCCTACATATGGCACTCATACAGGCTTATTCACAGGATTGGCTCACTGATGTTATTATTTACACCAGTGCCAGAATCAGTATATACATGGAGCCATCACTTTGTTCAAAGAGCCCCCTCTCTGTGAAGACAGGGGGCTCCTATGGTCACCTGGACTTATATATACATTATTACATTCATTCATAACATTATATTTAAATTTTTCCAATACTGTCTGTTTTGCTTTTGAACTTTTCACCCCCCCAAGAGAACCATCTATGTGTATATATATATATATATAGACTAGATACATCATTCATACATTACCAGTGTTTCCAGTGCAGTTAATTCTGTTTAATATCATCCACGAACAATCCTGAACCTCACTATACAGCTTTAGAAATTGATGTGCATGTGTTTAGATTTTGTTGTCTCAGTAGTCTGTGCAATGACAGTAAAGATGAATCTAACCTAATCTAATGGACAGTATCATTGTACTGTGTAAACTTGATACATATTTGCAGTAATATGATGTTTTCATTTCATATTTTAGTTATTATTTATTTTGTAGTTTGTTTCCTTACCTTATTTTGTTTTAGTGACTTATGTGACTTGGCTGCAGTAACAAGTGCTCACTCTATCTTAGGAACAGTGACATTTGTGATCGCAGTCAGTCGCAGGTTGTCAGTGACAGTTGGTCACACCTCACTGACTGTACTTACATTGGTGTAAGGGGGTGTGTGGTGGCGATACACAATCCAGGGAGGGACTGCCAGGGTTCGGTTCAACATCTTTGCAAAGGCCAGAGATCCCAGGAAGTGGTCTGCCTGGTTTCCAAAACGGCCTGGGACAATAACATTGGGCACTTACACTCCCATTTTCAACAGTAACCTTTATAATGCTGCTTGTGACAGGAAAATGGAAACTTGAATGACTGGAGGGAAATGTTGGGTACTTCCAAATATCATATATATCAAGCACTAACGTTATTATTTAATAAGTGACTTGCAAACACTAGTGAAGTAACTAGTTCGTATTCCACTACACTCAAGTTAGCTGCTAACTAGCTACTGTTTCATCTTCTCTGATGTTCTAGAGGTTG